AAGACAATCGTACTCAGTCATAAGCGATCACCTATAGTATCTTTGCAATTGCCTGCTTCTTCAGTTAGCATGCCAAACTATAGTCATAAAACACAAGTATTAAGTAATAATGGAGGGAAGACTGAGGAGGACTTCTACCAAAACCACATCTAAGGGCCTTCATGATTATTTCTTAACGCAACGTTGCTGTGAGATGTGTAAAGTCTTAATCTTTCTGCATGATAACAGAGAAAGAGCACATCAGTTCAGTTGCCTTTCTCATGTTCTTCCATTGGCCCAAACTTTGTGTATTGATTTTTTTAAGCCTGCATTTGTAGTGTAAATGCAATGTCTTACTTGTTACTATTCAGAAGGCATCCCCATAGCAAGATACGTAAATGGAACTTTCACAAGAAGGACATTTTTTGTTGACAAAAACTGATCCGGTTTTAACATTTCACATAGACTCATGCATGCACACTCTCTTGCATGCACATGCACACACACACTTGTTCTATTCGGCAACTCAATGGGCAAACTAGGTCTCCACTTCTCTGTGTGATCTTTCTTTCATCTTTCTCTCAGGAACCCCTGGAGGATTAAGTCTCTTGCTGTTTTTTTCATCTGTTCACTAATTGCTTGTGAGCTAGGAATTGTTACATTACAGGAAACACTCATCCTTTATTTTATTCTTTTAATCTGTAGTAACCTCAAAGCCTTTGCTTAAACTTATTTTTGTTTGTTTACAGTTCTTCCAGCTTTCTAGGGACTACTACTTGAGTCTGAAGAATAGATCTTCCTCTCCTGGTCCTGAAGGGCCCTTCTTGCCTCTAATTAACAAAATGCAGCATTCTGCAATATGGCATAATAACTCATGGGAGTCCCTTAATCATGATTAAAGGCCAGGTGATGGGATGTGTGCTGTCAGATTCTTCTGCCTGCCTTTAAGCACCATCCTTAACCATGATTTGGGCCAACCCGGATTCTGAGTTACAAATCAAGAGTATTTATGGATTTGGAAGTTAGCTTCTCTTCTGGTCTTGCAACCAGTTGCAAATCTCTTTCCATCTGCTAGAGTGGCCAATTCTATATTACAAAAAAAGGAGCTGAAAAAAGTACACAGGTTTACCCAGCTTATCTATCCAAACGCATCTCTCCCTATGAATCTTCCAGGAACTTGAGATCATCTGAGGAGACCCTGCTCTCAATCCCGCCTGTTTCACAGGCACGTCTGGCAGGGACGAGAGATTTGGCCTTCTCAGTGGTGTCCCCTCGGCCGTGGAACTCCCTGCCTAGGGATATTAGATCAGCCCCCTACCTCCTGACCTTTTGAAAAAGAGTGAAAACCTGGCTCTTTGAGCAAGCATTTGGAACTTCAGCATGATCAGATAAACTCAAATTGGAATATGAACTAGGGACGGCTAAGACGATGGAACGGTTGAGGATTTGAACAAGAAGACATAGTTTTTATAATTTTTATTGTTACTGCTTTTATGTTTTTAAAATGTATTGTAATGTGGTTTTTTGTTTTGTTTTTAACCGATGTATGTATTTTTATATGGCATCTAATTGTGCCGATTTGTACGCTGCCCTGAGTTGCCTTCAGGCTGATATGGACGGGATAAAAGTGACATAAATAAATAAATAAATAAATAAATAAATAAATAAATAAATAAAAAAAATAGATCCTCTGAAGAAGTCAGCCAAAGTTGCAGGCGAAACACCAGGAGAATATGCTGCAAGAAATGGCCATATAGCCTGAAAACCATTTTGAGTGGATGCATGAGTGTGTTAGCAAATTTAGAAATAAAATGAAAATCTAGATTGAAATACAGTATCACCATAGTAAGGAAGTATAGGTCTAGGTGATCTTTAAACTGGCTCTGTATGAGATCTGGGTGCTAATTACTAGTGTGAAATTTCAACTTTCTCCTCTTCGCAGTTCCTTCTCTTTAAGTTGGACTTGGATTGGGTGCCCTTCAAGCAGAGAATAGTCTTCTGTAAAATGGGATTCATAGCTACTCTCTTCTTTTCTGCCCCATGTATTCTGTCCTCCAAAGCTAGCATGTGCATATAGTTGCATGTAATGAGGTTGAGTACATGCTGGGACCTCTGTGAGGTGACACTTTTCTGAGACCATCTCTTCTTACCTTCCTTCTTAGGTAACATCTTGTCATAGTCATAGATAGTCACCTGTCTCCCTATGCCATGAAATTGCTATGTTTCTGTACGTATATCAGACTCTACTGAAGTATGGTGCTGGTTGCAGAAAGGAACGCAAGAGAACCTGGCTTTTTTGATAATGGATCCTGTATGATTTTATCCTAAAGGCACCAGATCCTATCTGATCTTGGAAGTTAAATAGGGTCATCTTCCATTGGTAGTTGGGCAGAAGACCATCAGCAAATGCTAGTTGGGTGGAAGACCATCAGCAAATTCTGGAGGCTATATACGGGAGTGGCAAAATAATTTCTAAATACTCCTTGCATTAGAAATTCATGCATTTGCCACAAGTCTGCAGGTAACTTGATGGCACATACACAGAGAGACATAACTTTGTGGCATATGGAGAATGGACAGTTAAAGAGCACTTTCTATGCCTGTTGCTATAAAGCCAATTTAATCAAACTGTCTGAATGGTTAGGGATGCTTTACATGCCAGCTAGGATTATTTGAGAAAGGAGCATTTTGCATGTGCTATGGGTATTTTCTGGAAGACATTGCATGTATGAATTTACATGAAAACCATGTGTACAGCTTAGATTACAGTGCTTGGAAAGGTTCCTTCTTTGGAGTACAATTCCCCAGTCTCCCTGCCAATGTGAGAATTACTCTGAAAAATGTAACTTCCAAGCTCTTCTGACATGAAACAGCAGTTGCATTCAGACTTTTGCTAATAAATCTGCTCCCGGCTAGGATACACATGTATGTGTGTTTAAATGGAATCTCGGGGGGGGGGGGGGCTGACAGAAGTTAGGATACATTTATCATGTTACATTGAGCTTTAGAGGAAGCAGAACTCCTTGGCTATCTGCTTGCTTGCTTGCTTGCTCACTCCAGCACAAGTCCTTTTTCCTTTTCTCAGGTCCTCTTGAATAGGCAGTGGAAGAATGGGAAGGCCTCTGAGGCCATACTTTGAAGCTCGCTGAAGCAGTGTGATTCCTTCTTGCTGCCAGAAAGCTCAGGCTGACCTGAGATCTCTGTTTCTCGCTTGAGCTTCTTTGCGTACTGAAGACTTGGGCAAGTCCTCAAATATCATGTGAATAAGCCAGGGCAAGTTTTGTGACCTACAACAGATGACACTCCATTGCAAACATAGACTTCACATTCCTTCCTCTTAAGAGAAAATGTATGACTGCAAATTAATTATATAAAACATATACAAATTAATTGACTAATGACTACTATTTTCAGAACACATAGAACTCTCTCTTGTTTTACATAGTCTAGCCATTCACACAACCCAAGTTTCTCATCAACTGTGTTAACAAAAGCAAGAACAAAAACTGCAGCCAATCCAGACTTGTTACAATTGTGTGGTTTTGTAGGATGCAACATTGGTTCACTCTTTCATTTTCTGTTAAAATCCATAAAGTGGGATAAGGGCCTTGTGTTTTGCCAATATTTTAGTAAAAGACCCTTCCACCCCCTTTCATCATATCATCAGCATTCTCATTCTGCTCGCCATCATTTATTAACCCCCTTCTTAAGTCAATTCATTTCAAGTGTTGTTTAAACATTGATGCCTTCAGTCTTTCCCATGTCCATTCATCTTTTCTCTCTGAAACATTTCTCCCTTTCCTCCACTCCATTTTTATTCTAATTTATTGGTTGACTGTTCTTTTATTCTTCATATTATTTTTTCCAAGAGCAAAAGGTGATGGTTTAACAAGATGTATTTACCATTTATTTTATACACCCTTTATGCCTATTCGCTTCCAGGATCATCTTCTGTGCTTCAGAATTTAATACTGGTGGGTAAATCTTAGCTTTTTAATTGGCAGCTCTCCTATGCTTTAATCCTTCTCTTGCTTTCATTCTCTGCTCTCCATGTACTAGACTCATCTTGCTGCTATGATCTTTCCTCTTGCTTTATTTATGGAGTGAGGAAGCTGAACATTTAAGTTTCATATTATTAATACTGTCTTGTTTAAAATTTTGAGTTGCAAAGCAAATGTTGAATCATCGGAAACTGGCTAGGTTTGAAATTATACCTGGGTGTGTTTTTACTGTTCCTATTCCCAACAGATTACACAATGGCACTGATTAGCAGCAGCATTTTGTAATACCACTTAAAGCTTTATCACAGTGGAGTACTGCCAGTAATAGTCTTTAATTCACTTATATGTACCAATTCATCTCTGCCAGGCTTCTATTCATTTCTTCACTGTCTTACTCTATCCCTAGCCTCTGTATAATGAGGTATGATGTGCCCCACTTAAGTAAGTTGTGGGAGAGCTTTGGATGAAGACTTCAGGAAATTACTTCTGGTCTTTGACTCCCCACCACCACCACCCCACATTAATGTTTGCCACTTTATTGCATTTCTCACAAATGAATTTTTGGATTCATATAGGAGAATCTTAGGATAGAGGAGGTAAGGAGAAAGTTCCACAGATGTTGCTGTTTAATTGGACTGCATGAAAAAAGAACTAAATAGACATCTAAAATTTAATATGAATCTGCTGCCGAAATTTTTCATAACTCTCAGTAAAATTCTCTGTGTGATGTTGGTGCCAGTATGATTATTAATGGCAACATGGTCTCAGAGTATGCCAATATACAGACAGGGACTAAATGCTTATCTGTTGTGAATCATGGACAGACATGCTTGCTTGATATGTTCAGTTAAATATGGGAGCATGATTACCAAGCATCTATAGGTTTTACCTGACGCCCATCTTGTATGTCTAAGTTGTTTGTTATTTAGCACAAGCTAACTGTGAGCCCTGTTGTGAAACTGGTTCACTTCCGTATAGGTGGGCATTGAAGTGAATAAATGTTCATTTTTTGCCTCCTAGAATTGGCGCAAAACATCAAGAGTTACGGCAAAAGCAGAGCAGGGCGCCTGCTGAATATCTGATAGGTCCTGTGGGCCCACCACCTGATATTGATGATGATGAGATGGACCCGAATTATGCACGTGTTAATCACTTTCGGGAAATGTATCCAAAGGCCAATGCCTACAGACCGTCTTCTCCACCTGCTCCAGATACCTTTGGATCAGAGAACCCTCCAGCACCTGCAGACAGGGACCACCTAGAAGGACTGTATGCGAGGATCAACAAGCCACTCCATCAGCACGCTCCTGTTGAGAGGTAATGCTCATATATCACAGAAATGGTTATAATACATCCAAACACACCAATTTCAATTTAATTATATTTTACAGAGAGTGTTCTTAATGCTGTACAACAGCATCCTTTAGACTTTTTTGTAGCAAAATATCAGTGTTTCAGGCAGTACAAACAAATAGTGGAACCACTGCAGTGGTGTTAAACTTGTGGCCCTTTAGATGCTTTGGACTTCTGCTCCCAGAATTCCTGGCCATTGGACAAGCTGGCAAGGGCTTCTGGGAGTTTGAAATATCTGAAAGGCCACAAATTTGACTCAGCTGCCATAAACTGTAAAATTGTGAGACTTATGAAGACTGGAGTGTGATTGAAAAATAAACCAGGGGTTGTGCACCTGGTCAGGCTATTGGCAAGTTAGGCTACCGATTCTTTAATTCTTAAATCAAGTATTTGTATGGTTTTGTTTGTTTGTTTACCGAAAGAGATCTTGATCACTAAGTTTGCTGCAATTTTGTTGAGTGGTTTTATGTCATCAAGGTGTTATAGTTCCTTAAAAAAAACCAACACATTTGCTTTCTGTTTGCACTTCTAGCAATCTCACTATTCAAGGCCATGATTAAATCGAAATCATTATAAAAAGGCCCTGGTTTCATGGGCTTGACAGAGCTGACCTGGCTCAAATCCAGCTGCAGTGCTACTGAATAAGAAATCTTCCTTCTCCACTCCAAAGGTGTTGCTCTGCAGCCTGAATCTGTCGCCTGTTTGTTTTTCTTTTGGCCTTCACGGTCACTCTGTGCCCATTTGCTACAAAAACTGTTTGCTTATACAGTGATTTACTGTGTATGCTTACAGTTTACATTTCCCCTGTTGTGTGATATTATGCGCTTTCAATTACATTGGAAGGAAGACTGAGAATCATGGCACTTTTATGCAGACTGTAAAGCGTGGCTTCACAAGACAGATTACCTTTCAGGGCCTTTCCAATAACCAAGTAGGGAGAAAGGAGCCATTTTTAATCCTTACTGTCAGGCTATCCGGTTGATAATGTTAGGAAATGCAGAGTTTCCCCCCCACTGCATGGCTTACATTTTAAAAAAGCATTCCTAGGCACATGTATGGATCCACATCATGAAATTTGGAAGGCTGAACTTAGTGCTCAGCTGGGCTGCCTTTGCCTAAGCAAATACATGTCTTTTTGGGGAGAGATGTACAAGCGCAAGCAAGAGAAGAAGAGTAAGCGAAAGGATTCATTACCGAGCCTTCTATTACTTGGTTGTCAGCCCTATCACTTAATTCAACACTGCATGTGTAAATATATTTTGCTAATAGAATATATAGTATGGCTGTAAAGGGTCTTTAATGAGGCCACAGTTGCTAGGACAAGGCAACCCGAAAAACCCTGCTTTTCTCTTGAAGCAGACTGTCTTTGGAGTGGGAGAGATATTTCAATTTACATATCTAAATAAAAGAGGCCTGGTCCTTTCACACCAATTTTAGTGAGAATCAGTACAGTTATGTATCTGTGTTATTTTGTTTAAAGCCATTTAGACCAGGCATGGGCAAACTTCAGCCTTCCAGGTGTTTGGCACTTCAACTCCCAGAAATCCCAGCCAGTTTACAAACTGGTTGAAATCCAAAACACTTTGAGGGTCAACGTTTGACCATGACTGATTTAGACTGATTTAGACCTCCTCTTACGTCGTAATGTATCCGAGTTTTGGCGGGCAAGAAGAGCTGACAAATAAATATTGAGCCAAATCTGATTATTTACAAGACTGGGGTATTATACTCCATATAACTCAGAATCTTCCGCTGTAATTCCTCGGCCTTTGGCTGCTTTTTGCTACCTTTCAAAATGTTAAATCAACAATACATAGACACTACTACATGTGCCCACCAGTGGCAATTTTGCGGGTCTGGACCACCCTCTTCTAGAGAAGATTCTTGAAGCAACCATGTCAGTATTACAGTTTTAGTACAGTTGTCTCATGGCCAGCAAACAGGTCTTTTGAAGACAATAATGGCTGAAGCTGAAGCTTTTTTTGATTTTCTTTTTAAGAGAATTATGGAATAGGTAACACACATGGGTAATTCTCCAATTATAAAGCAAATGATAGGTACACATGTAGCAGCTGCTGTACGTGAAGCACCTTAAACTGTGCTTGTAATTCCTATCTCAGTATAGACCTTGCCACACATGGACTCCCTTCATGACACTGCACTTTCCCAACTAAAACATTGATAGTAGCAACCACTGGAAGAGTGTGACTTGCGATATGGAGATAACCACCACAGCAAGTTGTTCAAAGTGGGCTGCGTGTGTTCCTTTGAGTCTTCTTGTGGAGAGAAAAAGCAGGGTATAAATAAACATAATAATAATGATAATGTACTAGCTGTTCTGTGTGCCACGTCTCCTCAGAGGACAAACCATGAAATCTGTTTTGTCCACCTGACTAGGATAAAGAAAGAAAATGGTGAAAATGGTTGGCCAAATCAAAGTCAATTTTATGATACCTAAGATTTAGTATCTGGTTTTCATATCCTACTTTTCTCATTATTTTCTCTCAGAGATATTTCATATTTGTGTTTCTTGCACACTTACATTTATTTCAGTTAAAATGTGACTCTTCAATCTAATTCACAATCTGTGACAATACAATTTTATGATATAAGAAAAGGCTTTTGGACCCCCACCCCCCACCGCTCTGTCTCATAGACACACACAAACACAAGCCTAGATGATCTCATCTCAATCTCAGAATTCCAGTCATAGGACATTAGCATTGAGAATCAAATTAATACTCATGCATTGAACCAAGCAATCACTTTTTTTCCTGTGAAGGATGTATTATTGTCCTTTAATGATTTTATAAAGTTATGTGAAAGCTTATAATAAAAGATCTCTGTGCTTTAATCAGTGTATCTTGCACTGATATACAATGAGCCATGTCTTCCTCAACAGTGCCCTATTTTAGTGCCCTACTTTTTGTTTTTACAGAAGCATCCCCATATTTATTACCCTCTCTGTACTTCAAAAAGCAAGACAGAATCTCAGGCTAATTTGTTACAACAGCCATGTAGTGTTGAGACTCCTTATTGTTTGCTTATAGCCTGAATCTGGATGGATATAAACCTAACAGTCTATCGCCCTTTTTCTTGCTTATATCAATGAATCCTAGTATGTATAACTGGGAAGTAGATTAGTGATCTGTAAATGAAATGTAAATAAAACCCACAGATAACTGTGCTAGCTATTTCTAAAGCTATCGTGCACTTCTTTGAAACCAGTGTGGACATAGGGGACCTAGGTTCATGGGTGCAGACAAGGGACGACTGCATATAGAAAGTCTCAGCTCCATAAATTGAAAGGAAGTATCAGGGAACAGCAATAGTCTGAAAAATACTTGAAATGGCCAGAATATTTGAAAATATTTGGAGGGATTAATGTTTGAAAAACTACTCCCTGAGGATTGGGAGGTCCTGGTGAGGAGAATCATGGTTGACAAGGAGCTTTGTAGTTCAAGACATATTCTGTATGGCGTTTTTCCATAGAAAACAAAATTTTCTCTGAGTGATTTTCTGTAAAAAAAAATGGTTTCTGAACAAAAATGTTGTGAATTTTATGAAGACAAAATCCTCAACTATAGCATTTTGTGTAAGAAACAGAAAAATGTTGTTTTGCCTAAATGAAGGAAGAGTGCCACATAAATGTGTGTGATAAATCATATTTCTTTCATTAACTTGGATACTTCTTACTTTAGTACTGTGTGGGTATCCTCTATTTCTTGTCAATTTATCAATGAAAAGAAATATAGGATACTGGGAGCATAGTTGTATTGATGTTGTAGGTAAAGTACATTTCACACATTGTCTAAGTGCCAGAGGAGAAAATAAAAAGTAGTATTGTGTGGTTTTTAGCATTTGACTATCTGAGTATCTCTCTAAGAGCATGGCATATGTCCGGAAATATGTAGGAAGTTCATTTGGTACTACATAGGAACCGAATGACTAGAGAGGAACAAGTGCACCACAGAACTTACAAAAACTTTGAGAAATAATTGAATCTCGTGACGTGGACTGAAATCCACAAAACATTTTCAAAATAAAATGTGTATGCTTCATGCTTAGTAGATGCCCCAAATCTCTTTTCATAGTACAAATCAATATCATTCAAACTATGCAGTGACTCTTTTGAGACATCAGTTAAAATCCTGGTTACAACTATCTGATTTACATTTGATTTTAAACCATGGTTTAATAATAATAATAATAATAATAATAATAATAATAATAATAATTTTTATATTCTGCCCTTCTCACCCCGAATGAGACTCAGGGCGGATTACAAGTACACATACATTGCAAATATTCAATGCCGTTTGTATAGACAGTACATAGACAGAACAGAAGGAGGTGTTGTGTCGATGCCATGGACGGTTGGGCTCGAGTCCACAGGGGGTGCTGTTACTCCATCCTCTATGACAAAGAGCTATCAGGACTGACTCATTCTAGCATTTTCTGATCTTCTTTTTCTTTGTAGCATTGTAAAACACCTCCCCCGCTTTAGCGATACCTTATTTCTCTAATTACAGCTAAAACTGTTTTCAAACTGCTTAGGTAAACAGTGAGCAGGGCTGACAATCGGCCACTTACACCGACCCAGAATTTCAAACTTGCAACCTTTCAGTTGATAGACCTTATAGTTGCTGATGATTCACCAGCTGTGCTAAACCCCCGGCCCTTCAATTTAACCTTCAAAGCTTATGGAAAATTGTGGTTTAGAGATAACAATTTACTTTGGCTTCCATTTATCTGGCACTTTCCATTCCAGGAGCATCTGGAAATTTATCAATTCAGACATGATGTCAAAGCATAGTCCAAACTGTGGTTTGCAAACACTGATTCATCTTTTTGGATATTGTGCCAAAGGACTTGACCTGAATTAAGCCCATGAATTCACACCTGATCAGGAATGTAAATTTAGTACAGTATATTCCCCTTAGCTGGGATGTGTTCGATGACAC